ACCTTAATTCTGGACTGTTGTGATAACCATAATACCTTATCATATATAGCTTTTAAATTGTTCTCTCCCTCATCTGTTTCAATGCAGTATACATAATTTATCCAGTTTTTCTCAGTCTTACCCCAACCCTGATGTCAGTCCCATTCTACAGCAGTGGCACCATGCAGTATTTGTCCTTTTTTGACTGAGATATTTCACTCAGCATAATGTCCTCTAGGATCACCCATTTTGAATAATATTGCATGAGTTCCTTGTTTTTCAATGCAGCATAGTATTCCATTGTGTGAATATACCACAGCTTTTCTATCCATTCATTTGTTGATGGGCACTTAGGTTGTTTCCAACTCCTTGCTATTGTGAACAAAGCCATATATCTGCTTGGATGTCGGTTATGGTTTCTTTAGGGTATATTTCCAGTAGTACAATTGCTGGGTCAAATAGTATCTTTGCAATTTTTTGAGAAAGCGCCACACCACTTTCCACAGTGGTTGCACCATTTTACACTTCCACCAACAGTGAATAAGGAAGGGTTCCAGTTTCTCCACAACTTCGCCAACATTTGTTGCTTGCTGTTCTGTTAAATTTTGCTATTCTGACTAGGGTGAGATGATATCTCATAGTTGTTTTGATTTGCATATCTCTTAGAGTGAGGGATTTTGAACATTTCTTCATGTGCTTGTTAGCCATCTGAATGTCTTCTTTGATGAAGTGTCTGTTCATATCCAGTGCCCATTTTTCAATTGGATCATTTACCTTCAACTTGTGGTGGAGGTATTTTTATAAAACAGAATAGGCTGCCAAGCCACTGCTATGCTTTTTGTCTTGCATAAGGTGACACTTTTATAATTTGTAAGCTATTTCACTGTTTTAACTAAGTGATGTAGAAGTCTTGTTAAATAGAATAAGGGAAGTATATTTGTGTTTAATTTTATTGTTTTTATGTTTTCTCGCTTAGTTATTCCCCCCCCTTAATTCTTACAATACTTTTAAGTATTATAGAAAAATTAAGTCATCTGGAGTGAGGTGGTTTCCAGGGACAGTTGTGGGCTTGAGTATAAGTCTTCTCACTCCAGGTCTTCTTCACTGCCATGTAATAGTGATTTTATTGTGCTGAACATATTTGTGTTCACATACTTTGGGCATATTCAGGCATACTTGTGAGGAGGTGCTATTCCTTGGGAAAGGACATGATGCTGGGAATGGTGGAGGGTCAGCAAAGAAGAGAGAGACCCTCAACCAAGTGGGTTGACATGGTGACTGCCTCAGTGGGCTCTTGTGTGTCAGAAGTGTGAGGATGGTGCAGAATAGAACAGGGTTCAGATCTTTTGTTCATAGGGTCACTATGAGTCATATGAGTCATACTTGACTCATCGGCACCTAACAACAACAACAGTTGCCAATGCTTAAAAGTTAAATTCACATTTGTGGTTTCCACCAGAAGTCAAAGATGAATGTTGGCCAGTTCCTTCTTTGGATGTCTGAGCGACAAGTCTTGCCTAATTAATTAAACTTTGAAAATCAATGGAGTAGGCTTAAATGCCCATTAATTTCTTGTGGTGTTGTTGTTTGAGTCGTAGATGACTCATAGCGACCCTATGAACAAACAGCCTGAGCACTGTTCGTACATAGAGTTTCCGGAGACAGGCCATTTCGGAAGTGGATCCCGCTCCTGCTTCCAGACTTGTTTTCATCGGAAAGCGCCAGTCAACACTGTCCACCGTGGGTACCCATTAGCACCTTTGGCACATCACTGTCACAGTCTTCAGCATCACAGCAACCATGAGTTACCTCTGTACAGCAACACACAGACCAGTGCTATACCACCTTGTGTAAAAAACCAAAAAAGTTAAATTCAGGATAGTTAAAGATTTACACAATCCTTTCTGGGGGAGTTTTTGAACTGTTTTTTCATTGGAAATTATCTTTAGAAATCTGAAAGTATCCAAGTAGTTTGCTTTCCCATATTTATAAATTCTGTGAAACTTTGAAGAAATAAACAAACTGACATTCAGAAATGTCCATTCAGTGATGTCTGAACAAGGTTACAGGATAGTGGAAATTATAGACTGCTATGCTACCAATGGAAAATACATACTATACCAGTTAACGTTCATTAGTGTCCTAATTTTAGACCTATTTCACACAAAGAAAATGTTGAGTGAGATTTTAGCATTTTCTTCAACAATTTATTTAAATACTTTTAGCATCTATAGAAATACAATACTAGCTGGACCCGATACTATTCTCTTGTCTACCTTTTTTTTTTTTAATGGAACGCTTCACGAATTTGCGTGTCATCCTTGCGCAGGGGCCATGCTAATAATCTTCTCTGTATCGTTCCAATTTTAGTATGTGCTGCTGAAGCTAGCACCTTGTCTACCTTTTTAAAAGAATAAAACATATACTTTATAAATCTGTTTTCAGCTTTTATTTTTAAGTGCAACTATTATTATATTTTCCTTTTTAATACCATAAGGAGGTAGCTTGTCTCACATATGATAACAGAAGAATCTTGTTTAAACATGAAAGAGAATTACCTGTCTGAAAACAAGTAATAAAGAACTAAATTCTTGATGCTCTTCAAATAGAATCCTAGGCACAGTTGCTGCTGTAATATGTTGCTGTGGGAAAATGTGAAATGTACTTCTTGGAAGGTCTTTACATTCTCTGGTACTTGAAGATCTTGCCCTGGATGCTAAGGGAGACTTTCAGTATGACTATTCTCTTGAGGAATTTGCAGCTCATTTTATTAGTCACTACCTTTTCCTTTCAAGAGCTGGGGAAGCTAATGTGTACAGGGGATGGTGGGTGAGTTTGTCTTCCCCTCCTCCTGAAACAATTGCCAAGTCTTTAAAGAGATGGTAATTATGGAAACATGGATGGCCTAAACACAGCCCAAGAAATTATGTCAAATCTTAATTTATCTGTTAATGATAATTTATTTTTTGAATAAGCATTTCATTTTCAGGATTTCTACAAAGTATCAGTTTTTAAAAAATAGCTCTTCAGTTAGTAAAAACAAGTAGATATCATCTCACCCTAGCAACAGTTGCAGAGTTCAGTGAGCTGGTAAATAGTAAATGCTAGTGAGGTTGTGGAGAGACTGGAACTCTCATTCACTGCTGATGAGATTACAGACTGATGCAGCCACCATGGAAAGCACACTTCCTTAGGAAGCTGAAAATTGAAATACCTTTTTTGTCCAGCAGTCCTACTCCTAAATGTCTGCCCAAGCAGGCATAGCACTGTTTATAATAATAAAGAGATAGAAACAACCCACCTGTCCTTCAGGGGATAAAATGTTAAACTCTGGTACATTTACACATCGGAGTACTGTGAAACACTAAAAAGCAATGAATTGGAAAAACTGTATAATAGATGAAACTCTAGGACAATATGATGAATGAAATAAATAAGGCAGTCACAAAAATCCAAATATTGTAAAACACAAGTATTATTAAAAAACTGAAGGAAAGTTTACATATATAAAAAAAAATATCGTTCATGAATGGTTACCAGCTGGTAAATAGGTGTTGTTTTGTGCTTTTGAGTTGGAACCAGCCCATAGCTTGACACCCTACAATGGGTTTTCAGAGGCAGTTAATTGCATTGCAGCATCCTTCTCCCATTGTGCAGCTGGTGGATTCGAACTGTATGAGTGGGTGTCTTTGGGATTGCAGTGCAGCTTCTTACCATTAGGCACCAGCATGCCTTAAAATAGATATTAGAGACGTTTTTAAATGTATAAATATAAAATAAAGCACAGCACAATATCACTGAAGAAAAAGAATATAGAAGTATAGAAGGATTAATGGAAATCAGAATTACTGGGAGTATGTGGGAAAAGTACAATTACATTGTGAGGATTGAAATGAATATAAAATGTATATGAATGGTTGAATGAAAATTTTTACCTTAACTCTCACTCTCACTGTCCCTTACATACGAGTGCACATATGTGCACACATACATGAATGACACACACATACAAGTTGAAAGGTTAATAATATATTTTCAAGCACATGAAGAGTTTTAGGAAAAATGTACTGTAAGATTGTTTTATTTAAAGCAAAGGGATGCTGGACAGGCACAAAAACCATCCCTATATTACCAGATAGCTGAATGGACTATAAATGTTGGTGCAACATCTGTTCATGTGGATTTTCAAAAGGACACTATATAACAACAGCCTGCTTGGTAAGACCTTCAACCAACCTTCTACAAGCATCTGTTCAAGGTGCCAGATCCATAGACATACCATATACACAACTCTTCTTACAAGAGGCTTAAAGTATCAGGGACATAGAAAAAATCATTAGTAAAAAATGTAAGGCATCATGTAATTAATTTTCCCAGTGTATGATGCAGGTTCATGTATTTTAGGAATTCAGTGAGTGAAAAATTCAGCACAGTTGAATTGTTGAGAAAGAAATCAGAACAGGTTTGGATTTGAGCTGCATGTTGAAGTATGGAAACAATTTCAGTAATACAGTTGATAGAACAATGGAGCATTAGAGGGAAGGTGAGAAGGCAGGAGAGAAGGTATTTAGCATAAGCAGTTTCATTCAAATCAGAATAGGGAATTAAACTGCTTTGAAGAAAGGTCTTATTTTAGAATTCCTTAATTTCTGTGGAAAAAATGCTAAGGAGTTATGAAATGATAAAAATACGACATAATGCTTAAGTCAGGACTGACATGGGGTCTGGGGGGAACTAAGAAAAGGGGATAAATAATGTACATGGCATTGAAACAGATGAGGGAGAGAACTGTATAAAAGGAATATATGATTAGGTATTATTGGCATGACAAGAGTCCTTAATAAGAGCTGCATAGAAAAGGGGGGGGGAGGAGGTTAAACAATGAAAACTTAATGAATGAGGGAGGGTAAGGGAAAGAATTAGTCATTAACTGTGTTATTGAAAATTGGGTGGAATTTGCTGAGTAGCTTGTAGAATTGGTGATAACTAATGAATATCCCGTTTCTTCTGGTACGTAACAGTGAGACGGTCTAAGCGGAAGCATCTTACAGCCATCGACTGCCAACATTTGGCTCGGAGTCACTTGGCTTTGACCCAGCCCTTCGGTCAAAGATGGACAAACAGAGATCCAAACCACGGTCTCTATCCTAGACCCAGAACAAAAAGAGGGAGTAGAGGTATGTCTTCCAAAAAAATGTCTTGCCTTCAAAATCTGTAGTTGTGTGTGATCTTTGAATATCTCCTACTTTGAAATCTTTCATCAGTACGACTGGTGTGATTTTGTTAGTTCTGTTGTAATAGTTTGACATCTTTAAAAACGGTCTGTGAGTTTTCCATGGAAATTCCATTCTATTTATAAAAATTAGTAAATGGCCAAGAAAAAAGTGATTAAAGGACTACCTTTAGCTTGTTTAAGTATAAAGTGATAGAAGACGTGTGTCAGCATCCCCATTATTTTTGTGTTGACACATGGTGAATATTTGACTCATTAGGCCTCTTTATCTGATCTGCCACTAGATTCATCAGTTGACAGACTGGTGGTGTTGGTGGAAATCATTTGCCCCCTCAGATGTTTCCTCTGATAATACTTTCAGGGTAAACTGCCCTTGTCATTTTGTGCCTATGCTGTTGTACTAACCTTTCTTTTGGCCACTAGATTTTATTTCTGACCAGCAGTGATTGAGTCAATATTCTTGAATGTTATTTTCTATCTTGTCACTCCCCTTCTCAAAAACTTAAAGTAAAATATCTCCACTTTACTATTACAGACTCAGTTTCCAAGTCTCCACCACCTGATAGATATTACATGAGAATACCACTTTTGGCAATTTGGCTTTCTTTCTCCATCTCTGTCTCTCTGTCTGTCTGTCTTGTCTGTCTGTCTGTCTATCTCTCTATCTCTGTATAAATTTCTACTTTTCTTAATATCTGTTAGTATAGTCTAGATAGCCTTACTTCCTTTTGGCAATTTGTAATTTCAGAATCCAGCTCAAACCCTTATTAGTCACTGCTTTAAGTAATTACTGTATTGATCTTTAACTATATAGTAATAGCTGTTTCTGTCTCACTTTTTGTCACTACTAGAAGGCAGTTTAAAATGTAATTGTTTATTGTGTGACATTTTATTGTTTTGTGTGTTGACTTCTATCTTGATTGCAAATTCTTTAATGATGAAGACTGTTGGTTTGTACGTATTTAATGTGTAGTCCTCAGGCTGAATATGAGTAGGCTCTTGGTGAAAATGAATAAAATTGAATTAAACAATTACTATCAGGATTTAACTAAGGTTTTAGTGATTTCAAGACTGTTTATATAACATTGTCATAAAAGCAGAAAAAATTTATTTTACAGAAATTCTTTAAAAACAAAATCTACTTGTATTCCATGCTCTTTTTCCCAAGTTAAGGTTTTGGCTAAAGCTATTTAGAAAGGAGCCATGTATATTTTTGTGTTTTGATGTTTAAATACTTTATTAGTATTTTAAAAACTTTTTTAGGAGTTTAAGAAACCACAAGTTAGGCTCTCCTAGACCCTGGATGAAATGGATTATTTTGGTGACTGGGGTAATGGGGATGACTATGTCAGAGACAATGGAATTGGCTCAAGATAGAGCAAGGTTCAGAGCTGTTATACATAGGGTCACTATGAGTCGCAAGTGACTCAGCAGCACATAACAATAATAATGAGACTAAAAAAGGGGGAGGGGCACTTTTGTTTTCAATTTAATAAAAAAAGATGACACAGTGGTTAATTGCGTGGCTGCCTACAAGAAGGTTGGTAATTTTGATCTCACTAGTCATTCTGTGGGAGAAAAATGCTGGGAATCTGCTTCTGTGAAGATTATAACCTTGAGAACTCCTTGAGACAATTCTACCTTGTCCTACAGAGTTGCCGAGTCTGGAGAGACTTGATGCAAAGGGTTAAGTATGAAAAGTACCTCTGAGGTCAGGGCCACCATACAGCTTCTACTTTGTATTTGTCTCATTTATAGGTGCTTAGTAAAAGCCAATTGAGTTAATGTATAGAATAGATTAATATGAAGATAATTTTGCTTCTGTCTTTTTTTATTTTAAAATAAAGTGTCATCTTCACCTACAAGGAGAGAAATAAAATGAAAGGAATTTCAACAAGGTCCTTCTTCCTTCTCAGTTTTAGGAATTTAGTCAGATGAGGAAAATGGGTTTTTCTGAATCCTCAGGGAGCTCTGGGGCATAGTCTGTAATAAGTTGTGCAGCTGACTTTTCCTTGGGAAGAGATGGGAAGTTTCTTCCTGTTGCAATCTACAGCTTCGGAAACCTGATGGAGGGTTGCTGTAAGTCAGAGCTGACCCAATGACATTGAGTTTGAGGTTTTGGGAGTTAATAATACAAAGCATATTCTTTTCTATTTAGACAAACTTAGATTGCCTAGTGTAGAAATAAGCCAGGGGCAGTGCATATTCATAAGTCTGTGTATAAATGTGAGCTTTTTGTTCATCCATTCAGGTGTTCATAGCATATTCCCTTTTACTTGTGTATATTTCCAGGTATAATGTGATCCATCATACCCATCCAAAATTGATCTCTGTCTCTTTCCAAATGTATATTTGACTAAATGATAGAGCTACATCTAAGTGGTTGTTTTGGAATAAGCTATTTAAAGAAATCAGTTAACTAAAAATATATTCTAGATCCTTTAGCACAGGGAATTAAATAATGGTTTTACTTGGGTCAACAGTGGTTAGTAGTCATTTCTTATTCTGTGTATTCCCACTACAGGTCGAGAATGTCAAAGATACATCACTGAATTCTTTCAATCTGGCCAGCAGCAGTGCACCAGTGATATGGCCAAAAGCAATTCTGTTGGCCAGGACAGCTACAGGGGCTCTGAGGATGAAATGATTTTTCCTGCAGAGGGCAGTTATGCCCTGTCTCACGAAGGTGATGGGGAAGTTAGATTGAACTCTTCAAGTTCTAGTCTGCCTTCAAGAAAACGGTCTCGATACTTTGAGGAAGACAGTAATCAAGTTACAGGGACCAGCCAATGCGATGGAGTTTCTAAGAAAATCGCAAGGCATCATTTGTCCCTGTCATGCCAAAAACCTAAGGGAATTAGGCAAGAAGCAGGGGATTATTTGTCACAGCTCTCTGTACAGTGTGAAGAAACTAACCAAGAAGTTGAGGACATTAGTCCTGATGTCATTCCTGACACACACTATGGTCTTCTTGGGACCTTGTCCTGTCATGAACCCTTGGGTCTCATTTGCAGCCTGCCTAGTGAAGTCTTGAGACATATCTTTGCTTTCCTTCCTGTGGAAGATCTCTACTGGAACCTAAGCTTGGTGTGCCGCCTTTGGAGGGAGATAATCAGTGATCCATTGGTATGTAAAATATTGTGTGATAGTCATGTGATGCTTTATCTAAAAGAAAATAGGGTTATCTAGTGCATGCTCCCCTTATTTCTCCAGAATGGTAGTTTCTATTTGCCTTTAAGATAATGTCTTAATCCTTTGATGTTTATCTGAATTTATTTATTTATTGCTCTTTTTTCTTCAGAACATTGCACTCTACCCCAAACAAATGATTTTCTCTGTCAGGACCACAGACCGCACACTCTATATCCTCTGTAGGTTGCTTTTATTCTCTCATCTCTACCTATGGGCCCCTTATATTTCTCTTGACATTAAGCTTGAAATTAAAAGCTTACTCACACTACTTATACTCTTCCCATTTCTTGCATTGAGATTAATTGCATTAACACAGTAACGAGTTAGTATTGAGAGCAAGAAAAGCTTGATTCTGGTTTCTAACCAAAATTTATATAATGTTTTTACCTAATTTGCCAGGTTTGGATTTTTAAGTTCCAGTTCCTTTTCATGTTGATAGAAGATAATAATCTTCCAATTTCATTCTCTGTTGAACAAGAACAGGTCATTCCTTTATTGACATACATAAACTACATCACATTTTCTGCTCTGCTGATGCTATAACTTCAATACCAGTTCTCCAGCCACATCGGTTATGAGTATGAAGTGTATCATGTAACCTCAAATCTCTGACAGTGGAAGGCTTAAACAAGAATGTATGCTGTTGAGTAATGTTGATTCCTTTGATGTGACAACTGAGCATCCATCTCCCTCCCCCTCAGATGATTTCTTGAGCATGTTAGAGCAGTGAAGAATGGTTTTAGTCTCATAACCGAGTTAGAGTGAAGACATTGGCCACATAATACACATGCTCCATTTTTTTTTTAGAAAAAAACAAACCTCTGAATCTTGGGCAACTGTTCTCTTGTAACTACTTTACAGTTTCTAAAAGCAGTTATTGTCCAAAGCTGGAAGAACTTAAGTCTTCTCATCCTTTGTATTCCAAAATAGGGTCTCAAACACTTTATAATTCTCATTTAAATTATTAGGAGGCTTGGAGCTATTAGTTAATCTATCTTCCAATACACTGTTTAATATAGCACTGAATAAATGATGCAAGTTGTCAGTGGATAAGTGAGCAACTAATAGCTCTGCTAGTAATTGATTTATTTTTCTTCAGTAAAGTTGCATAAACAAAAAACCTATGTGTTATGGCTTAATTTACTTTCTAATAGTCATTGCTACATCCATTTCATTTGAGATTTCTCCCCTCCCACTCCTTTCTAGTTCATTCCCTGGAAAAAGCTGTATCATCGCTATTTGATGAATGAAGAACAAGCGGTCAGCAAAGTGGATGGCATCCTCTTGAACTATGGCATTGTGAAGGAGTCAGACTTGTGTGTGTTGAACCTCATACAGTGAGTAACTTTTCTCCTATAAGGGAAATAGTTTCTTTTGACATTCATTTTGGTCTTTTCCTCTTTGTCCTTCTTAGTAATGACTTTTTGCATTCTTCATGAACGATATTCTTGATGTTTTCCCACAGCTTATCTGTCTTCATTCATTACTGTTCAAGGCCTCAAACCTATTCCTGAGTTGGTTTTTAAATTCATGGGAGATAGACTCAAGGTCAAATTTTTATTCTTGTGGATTTGATTTAATCTTCAAAGGGCTGCTTGGGAAGACAAGGCAAAACATAAAGAAATATGCAAGGAGCTGAAGTCAGAAAATCAAAAGGGCTGAACTTGCTTAGCATTTCTTAAGCTGAAAGAACTAAAGAGTAAATTCAAGCCACAAGTTATAATGCTTAAGGGTGCTATGGGCAGGATACTGACTGATTCAAGAAGCATTAAAAACAGATGGAAGGAGTATATAGAGTCATTGTACCAAAAAGAATTGACTTGAAAGAATTTCAAGAAACAACATATGAGCAAGAGGCAGTGGTGATAAAGGAGGAAGTGAAGGCAGCTCTGAAGGACTTGGCAAAAAGAAAACCCCAGGAATTGATGGAATACCAATTAACGTATTTCAGCAAAGAGATGCTGCCCTGCATGTGCTCACCAAGTTGTGCCAAGAAATCTGGAGGATAATTACTTGGCCAACTGACTGGAAGAGATCCATATTTATTACCATTCCAAAAAAAGATGACCTGACAGAGTGTGAAATTATGACACAACCCTGCTCGCTGAAACTGAGGAGGACCTCATGCACTTACTGCAGAGGGTCAAGGACTGCAGCCTTCAGTATGGACTGAGGCTCAATGTCAAGAAGACAAAGATTCTCACCACTGGACCAATTGGTAGCATCAGGATGGATGGCGAAGAGATTGAGATTGTTCACAGCTTCAGGTTGCTTGGCTCCACGGTCAACACTCTTGGCACCAGCAGCCAGGAAATCAAAAAACGTATTGCGATGGGAAAGTCTTGCTGTTAGGGACCTCTCTAAAGTACTCAACAGCAACGGTGTCTCTCTGGAGACTAAGGTCCGCCTGATACAGGCCATGGTTTTTGTAATCACTTGTTGTGCATCAGAGAGTTGGAAAATGACTACAGAGGACAGAAGGAGAATTGACACCTTTGAGCTGTGGTGCTGGAGAAGAGTATTGAATGTACCATGGACTGCCAAGAAAACAAACAGATTCATCCTAGAGAGGGTTAAATAAGCTACTCCTTGGAGGCAAGGATTCTGGGGCTTCGTCTGACATACTTTGGACATGTTGTAAGGAGAGACAGGTCTTTAGAGAGGGATATCATGCTTGGTAGAGTGGAAGGACAGCGCAGGAGGGGAAGACCCTCTATGAGGTGGATTGATTCAGTGACTGGGGTAATCGGGATGGGTGTGTCAGAGGCAATGCGATTGGCACAGGATAGAGCAGGGTTTAGGGCTATTGTACATAGGGTCGCTATGAGTCGCATACGACTCAGCAGCATATAACAACAACAACAACAACATCACTAATATCACACACTAGAAAAATCCTGCTGAAGATTGTCCAGAAAAGACTTAAACAGTACATTGACAGAGAACCACCAGAACTACAGGCTGGGTTTAGAAGAGGTCATGGCACTAGGGACATTATTACCAATTTTGGATCTTGGCAGAGAGCAGAGAATACCAGAAGAATGCCTTTCTGTGTTTCATTGATTATACAAAGGCATTTGACTGTGTAGATCACAGTAAATTGTGGCTAACCTTGAGGAAAATGGGAATTTCAGAACACTTGATCGTGCTTATGCAAAACCTATACTTAGACCAAGAAGCAGTCCTCAGGACAGAGCACAGAAACACTGCATGGTTCAAAATCAGGAAAGGAATGTGTCAGTGACGCATCCTGTTTCTGTACCTTTTCAATCAGTATGCAAAATAGATCATTTGGAAAGCAGGGCTTTATGAGGAGGACTGTGACATTAGGATTGGAGGAAGACTCATTAACAATCTACAATATGCAGATGACACAACCTTGCTTGCTGAAATGGAAGACGGCCTGAAACACTTGCTGCAAAAGGTCAAGAACTGAGTCTTCACTATGGATTGAAGCTCAACATCAAGAAGACAAAGATTCTCACCACTGCGTCAGTTGGCAGCACCATAGTAAATGGAGAAGAGACTGAGGTTGTTACCAATTACAGCTTGCTCAGATCCACAATCAACATTCTTAAAACAGCAGTCAGGGAATCAAAAGACGTATTGCACTGGGAAAATCTGCTGTCATGGACCTCTCCAGAGTGCTGAAGAGCAACGATGTCAATCTAGATACAAAGGTGTGCCTAATCCAGGCCATGGTTTTCTCAGTTACTTGTTATGTTTCAGAGAGTTGAACAATGACTAAGGATAACAGAAGAAGAATAGATGCCTTAGAGTTGCGGTGTTGGAGAAGAGTCTTGAACATACCATGGACTTCCAAGAAAACAAATATCCTCTTGGAGAGGGTAAAACCTAATCTCTTCTTGAAGGCTAGGATTTTGAAGCTCTGCCACACTTACTTTAGACAGGTGGTCAGGAGAGATTGGTCTTTAGAGAAGGATATCATGCTTGGAAGAGTGGATGGATAGCACAAGAGGGCGAGACCCTGGGTGAGATGGATTAATACAATAACTAAGGCAGTGGGAGTTGGTATGTCTGAATTAGTAAGACTGGCTCAGAACAGGGAAGGGTTTAGAGCTGCTGTACATAGGGTCACTATACATCGCAGGTAACTCAGTGACACATAACAATAATAACGTATTGTGACAGGTTAGAAAGCAGGAGTGGCAACCACTTCCTAAACAACATGCCTCTAGAAACTCTGCAAACTTTGATAAATGTTGATATTTGTAAAGGGGCTTCAGGCCTTTTGTTCAGAGAGTCACTATGAGTCATGCTTGACTCAAAGGCAATCAACAGCAACAAGGGAAAGAGTTTTGAAGTCTTCTCCCATAAGTTTGCATTTATGTTCATCTTTTTTTATGAACTGTTCTTTGACTGTTTTTACAGATATATCGCCACCACTAAATGCTCCCCAAGTGTAACTCCTGAAAGAGTGTTATGGAGCCTGAGGGATCATCCTCTCCTACCTGAGGCAGAGGCTTGTGTGCGTCAACACCTCCCGGATCTCTTTGTTGCTGCTGGGGTATGTTACAGGTTCTGGGACAAGATTGTGAACAGTGACATCTTTCTTTCATTGAGAGAAAATATTGTTGTTGTTATGTATTGTTGAGTCAACGGTGACTCTTAATTACCCAATGAACAATAGCTCTGAACTCTGTCTTATCTTTAGTCATTCTCACTGACTCCAACACACCTGCCCTTAATCAATCCATTTCATCCAGAGTCTTCCTCTCCTTCCAAGCATGATGTCCTTCTCCAAGGACTGGTCCCTCCTGGAAACATGACCAAATCATTTCAGGTAGAGCTTCAAAATTCTTTCCTCAAGAGAGCTACTTGGTTTCACCCTCTCTAGGATAGTCCTGTCTGTTCTCTTAGCTGTCTGTGGTATGGTCAAGACTTCTCCAGCACCACAACTCAAAGACAAATTTTTCTTCTGTCTTTCTTGTTTATTATTCACCTCTCTGATACATGTTGTTGTGGTGGTGGTGGTGGTGGTGGCGGCTGTGTGTGTCGAGTCGCAGGCAACTCATAGCGACCCTATGAAGGAGAGTCCTCAGCGCTTGGGTGTCTTTCATCCTCTCTCCAGGTTCATAGGGTTTCTGGAGGCAAGCTATTACGGAAGTGGATGCCACTCCTCCTTCCAAGCTTGTTTTAACCGGGGAGCTCCACCCCACTCTCTCTCCACATTGGGTAACCAAACATTAACACATTTGATACATAGCAGGTAATTTCTAGGACTTTGGCCTGGATCAGATGCTTCTTAGTCTCTAGAGTGACATCTCTGCTCTTTAGCACTTTGAGAGGTCCCTGACAGCATATTTTCCTAATCCAAGTTTAGCTAAAGACTATGTTTTTAAAATCTTTAATTTATGAATATTTTAAAACATTAATTTGTGTAGGTATCATTGGAGTAACAAAAGGCATATAGTCAGAGCAGATTTGGAAAGGAATTTTTAAAAAATAGTTTGGGACAATTTTCCATCCTGTTGAATAATATTCTCAGACATATCACTGAAATGTGGTCGTCTGGCCTCTACAAATTCTGATTAGTCAGAATTTCTTTGCATAAAAATAAATGCCTTCTATAAGAGGGAGACTTAAAGTAACCAGTGTCAGATGGATATTAGCTGAAGGCAGAGACTTCCAGAGGAATGTCTTTTTGTGTTTCATTGACTGTGAATCTCAGCACACTTGATTGTGCTCAGGCTAAACCTATATTTGGATCAGGAAGCAGTCATTAGAACAGAGCAAAGAAACACTATATGGTTCAAAATCGGGAAAGGAGTGCATCGAGGAAGAATCACCATACCTTTCCAATCTATACGGAAAACAGATCATCTGGGAGGCTGGACTTAAGAAGACTATGGCATCAAAATTGGAGGAAGACTCATCAATAACCTGTGTTATGCAGATGACACAACCTCGCTTGCTGAAACTGAGAATGCCCTGAAACATTTGCTAAGGAAGATCAAGGACTGTAGTCTTCAATATGGATTGAATCTCAACATCAAGAAAACAGATATTCTCACCAGTAAGCCAACTGGCAACACCATGATAGATGGAGAAGAGATTGATATTGTTAACAATTTCAGTTTGCTCAGTTCCACAGTCAGCACTTTTGGCACTAGCAGTCGGGAAATCAAAAGATAAATTGTATTGTGGAAGTCTGCTGTCAGGGACCTCTCCAGAAGTGCTGAAGAGCAAAGATGTCAGTCTAGAGATTAAGATATACCTGATCCAGGCCATAGTCTTTACATTTACTTGCTCTGCACCAGACACATTAAATAAGGATGAAAGAGGAATTGATGCCTTTTAGTTTTGGTGCTTGAGAAGAGTATTGAACATACCATGGACTGCCAAGAGAACAAACAGGTCTGTCTTGGAGAGGGTGAAACCAAGTTGCTATCTAGAGGCAAGGATTTTGAAGCTTTGGACATGTCTCCAGGAAGGACTAGTCCTTGGAAAAGGACATCAATGGAAGCGTGGAGGAACAGTGCAGGAGAGGAAGATCCTGAATGGGATGAATTGACGGAGTAACTGGGGTTATGGATGTAGGTGGATCAGAGACAGTGAGATTGGCTCAGGACAGGGTTTAAAGATGTTCATAGGGTCACTATGAGTTGCAATTGACTCAGTGACACATAACAAACACCAGCATGTTAAAAATCATAATCTTTATAGCAAACATTTTCTTGTTATTAGTATTTGGAGCATGTCCTAATATCAGAGAATTTTCAGTCTTGATTTTTCCCCCTGGAAACTATTCTTTTTTCTCTCTTAGTGCTTTGTATGATAGGTAGATACTCATTTAGTTGTTACCTCATTTTGACATGAATATTCTGATTATTTGTGGACCTGAGTGCTCATACTGACCTGGAGGAGGAGTGAGACAGGAAAGAATATTATTTCTGTGTCATTTCTTTGGAAGATTCTATGTTAGATATTGTATAGATGTTATATAATTAAAGAAAACAAGATCCAAGTTAAAAAAATATATGAGAAGAAAGGTGCTCAGGACAAAAAGAAAGCTTCCCTTATTTTCTAAATATCATTTGAAAAGTTTGATTTTTAATTCTGATAGTATTGGTGATATTTGGGCCCCAACTTTACTTTCTTCACTGGTTGTCTGATTTTATTATTTGTAACCCATGTTTCTGGTACTTTCTTCCATCTCTGATCTACCTCACTCCATAGGATGTCAACGTGTGGGCTCTGGTAGCAGCCATTGTTCTCCTTTCCAGCAATGTGCATGACATCCAGAGACTGCTTTTCTGCCTCCGGAGACCTAGTTCCACGGTGACCATGCCAGACGTCACCGAGACTTTGTACTGCATAGCTGTGCTTCTTTACGCCATGAGAGAGAAGGGAATTAACATCAGCAATAGGTAAAACAATGGTAGGGTATGAGGAGGCCCTTTGTTAGAGTGAAAAAGTTCTGTACTCTATATAAGCTCCACCTCTGCCACTTACTAACTTCAGCATTGTTCCAAAGCCATAAAAACTCATTTTGTTTAATCTCAGTTTCTTCATCAGTAAGGTGGAAGTATTGTGGTTTAACTCTAGAAAAGTTGCTGTTGTTGTTATGTGCTGTCGAGTTGCTTGAGACTCATAGCGACCCTATGTACAACAGCCCTAAACCCTGCTCTATCCTGTGCCAATTGCACTGCCTCTGACACACCCATCCCGATTACCCCAGT